AGCCAAGCGGCAGATGGCTCCAGCAAAACGCAAAAGTCTCTGCAAGCCGCAACCACAACCACAACCACAACACCTGCCTCCATGCATTACAATAAGAAGTCGGAGAATTATGGCACCGAGCTGCGCAGTACAAAGTCCTTTAGCAGCGTCGACGACACCAAAAAGAAAAAGAATGCCAACAATGAGCCCGTCGAGGTGTTTCTCGGTGGCTCCTGCAATCCAACCACATGGCGTGCGGATGTCGCCATACCCGCACTCAAGGAGCTAGGCATTTCGTTCTATAATCCTGTAAGTAAGCCACTCTCTCTTCCACACAGACTATATATTAACTATATTCCATTTTGTGACTGCAGCAAGTATCCGATTGGACGCCAGATCTCATTGAGCTGGAACATCGAGCCAAGGAAAAGGCACGCGTATTATTCTTTGTCATGGATTCGGAAACACGCGCATCTGCTGGTGCCATCGAGGCGGCACACATAGCGGGTCAAAACTGCAAGCAGCTGGTGTTGGTTTTGCATCCGTATAAACCAAATCAGAATATCCTCAACGAGCCTATTTCGCATCAGTATGTAACCTGCATCCCCTCCAAAGTTGATCAAAATTAATAGAAATTAACCATTTTCCTTTACAGAGAATACCTCGATTTAAATCGCAATCAATTGATACTTAAGGAGCTGGTCTCCCGTCGCGGCCTGCCCGTCTTGGATAATATACCATCTGGTCTGCAGCGCACCAAGGAGATCTTGTCTGGCATCCGAGATCCACCGTCCAAAATATCTTCTATATTAGAGTGAGTAATTTGTGTATTTCTTCTGATGAGTCGTCCGCATTTTGGGATAAATATTTGAATTGCTAGTTTGCTTTTGCGTTATGCAAAAAGTATATATCTTTTAAAATAATGTTATATTCTTATATAATTGTATTTGTTAGCTTTATAATGTAAATTAAGAAATATTTAAAACAAAGTCAATGTATTTTGGGATGTAACCGAATAGTCTAAAGACAATGGCAAATCTAGAATAAGCATTTCTTATGAAATTCCCAATTATTTAATTTATGTTCTATTATCCTTACAGTACCGTTCGCGGCGCCTTTGATCGCGTGAATCCCCAAAGCGAACTACTCACTGTGGAACAGTGTAAACGTGCTCTCTTATTTTTAGGCTATGCTCAGAGTTTAGTTAATTTAGATAATCTAACTAAGATAATAATCAACCAACGCGAATCATTGAAACTGCTTCAAACGCATAGTACAAAGGCTGTAGGCGAGGCGAATCTGGAGGAGGAGGCAGAGGAGGAGGAGGAGGACAACGACGACGACGACGAGAAGAAGAAGGCAGTTCGACAGCCAAATTGCCACAATACGCCCGTCATGCCAAACCATGAGCTCATCGATTTCGATCTATTTTGTGTCATCTCAGCGTACCTGTCGGTGCTGCAGCAGGAGATACACGAGAGCGGCTGCATCTCGCCCATCAAAGGGACGAATGTGCCGCCGCCGCAGGTTTACTTTACCAATGGTGAGCAAATGCCTCTAAATATATGTAAAGCCCTTACTAATCCTGCTCTTGAAATGCTTGTTCAGCTCCTGATGTGGACATTTATTACGCGGCCAGCAAGAATATTTCGCGCACCTCGAGCAATGCCAGCGTTCCATCGAATAGCAGCAGCGGCATTGGCCACGACTTGGAGCGTCAGAGCTTGTTCGAGCAGCTGAGCCGCGGTCGGGACAGCGGCACCTCCTCGCCGCAGCCTAGCAGCAGCACGGCATTAGGTAAAAAAGCACAGCCACAGATAATGCTGAATGTCGAATCGATTGAAACAACTGAAATAATCACCACCAAAACGATAGAAACCAAACCGTTTATGGCTGTCAGCAGTAATGCGACGCCGGCGACCGCCACGACGGAGGAGGAGGAGAGCGATTCGAATGATTCGGTGTTCTCCAGCAGCAGCTCCATTGCAAGCGGCGGCGATGCTCTGTGCTGTTCCGGCCTGGATCTGCGCGATGTCTATCTTGGCGGCAGCTGCGTTCTGCGCACCAAATGGCGCCAACAGCTGGCTGCGCCCTATCTGCAGGCCAAGGGCGTCACCTTTCACACGCCCGCGCTGCACGAGAGTATACAGCAGCAGCAGCAGCAGCAGCTATCCACGCAGGAGCGTACGGCTGGAGCAACCGCCACTCAGGACACAGCACGTTCGCAGGAGCAACAACAGCAGCAGCGCTCGTTTGTGCGCACGCGCCGAAAGTGTCGCGGCAATCAGCTGCAGCTGGAGGAACAGGAGGAGCTCACCGTTGCCGAGGAGTCGCTCAGCTGGTCCCTGCCGCCCATGGCCGTGCGCCAGAGCCTCTACAATCCGGCGCTATTGGATTCCAGCCGCGTGCTGCTCTTTGTCATCACCAACGAGACGCGCTCCCTGGCCCCGATGACCCTCGCGGCGCACTGCATCGGACTCATGTACAACGTGGTGCTGGCCGTACAAATGCTACCCGAGGACTGTGTGCTGGGCGGTGAAAAGGTAGGAGAACACGAAAACTATCATGAATATAAATTCTCTTTGTGACCAAAACCTGAGACAAATTTAAAGATAGCAATTCCTTAAACAAAATCTATTCAAATTAATTCGATCATTTTAAAAATTTCTTCTTTATCTTTAAGTTAGATATTTAATTTAAGTAGTTACTAAATCCTTGACTCCAAATTCTTAGGCAATATCAATCAGATAAATCAGTTTTATGGTCATCTTGATAAAGTTTGCCAGAAAGTGCATATGGAAGTCGGCCATCCGATATTGTATAAATATAGTGATATTTCTGATATTATATTCAGGCATATGCGTGGGCTTTTGTATTGAAAACTTTCTTTTTTAAGATATAGGCTTCGCTTAATTCCAGGCCTTAGGCCTGGCAGGGGTATTTGATTGTCGTGGTGCCAATAAATTCTTACCTGAATATTGTTTCCTTAAATCAACAATTTAGATATTTCCATGCGTTCTGTGTTTTTCTTATATTTCCTTATTAATTCACTTGGATTGAGCTGATATTTAAATATAAAATTATAATTTAATAACAATCCCAATTTTTATGAGATAAACAATTTTAGGGCACAAAAAAGAAAAGCTAGGAGAAATTGTAGACAAATTGAATAAACGTGAAATATATGAATTCGTTCAGATTAGCAAATATTAGTTAAGTTTTTGTAAGACCTCATACATCTATATATATATATATATATTGCCGATATGCTTGCAAGACTTGATTAAGAATTGAATTGGAATGCTTGCAGCTAACGGTGGCGGCTATCAAGGACTACAACCGGGGTCGCTCGTATCTCATCGATCTGGCCAAGCGGCAGGGTGTGCCCGTTTTCAATGACATCCAGGCGGCGCTCGAGTGCACCGTGGCCAAGGTGCAGGCGTATAACAATCGCGAGCGCTGCTAAATTCGTACCTGTTTCAGTTGCAGCACGTGACAATTTTTAAGCTAAATCTAATACTTAGTGCAATTTATATATTTGTTTTTTTTTTTTTTTAACGTCTTAACTTTAAACAAAATTTACTTAACAAAGTGTGTCTTAATTGTATTTAAGTCTAATCCAAATTCTATGCTATGCAAACTGTACTAAACTTTGCTACGCATTACTGTTCCCACTATGCTTTATTTAAATGAATATCTACAAATACGTAATATACCATAATTATTGTAAAAGTGTAAATGAAATATGTCGTTGCCCAGGAAGCGCATTTCAAAACAACAACGGAAAGCATTATGCTTTATGCTAATTTATTATTTATTTAACATACCATAATTGTACACGTTCATGTGCTAAATTGAACAACTGTAAATATTATAAATATAAATATTCGTATGAGAAGCGTGTTAAATGTAAGTAAAGAATTCAAATATATTTTATATTTAGTGAGCATAAAACCATATACACATACTTAAAATACATAATAATTTAGTGGCCCACTGTACCCAGTTCGCAGGCAAAAATATCTCAATAAACAAGTTTTCTAACATAAATGTAAATCCCCTTTAAATACGTATATCAGAAAAATTCATTTGATATCAATTTAACAGTTTTAAAGCACTGTAACACATGGATATGTTTAACAGCACTGTTCGGCGCTGCCAGACTGTACACCAAGCGTCAATTGGCCGTTTACCAACTAATTGGCAGCTCGAGCATCCGATCGTTGCTGCACACGAACTCAAGCACTTGTAAATTACAGTTGCAGCGGCACTGTACGGTCACGTACTGATATCGATTGCTATTATATCGATATTTTGTTTGGGCAATTTTTGAACAGCTGGCAGCGCTCACTTTCGATCAGCCGCCCACAGTGTGGCGCACTATGAGACGTGACAAGTGACCCAAACACACACACTTGCGAGTTGTAGAGAGAGAGAGAGAGATAATGGGAGAGAGCGAACGCCACAATCTCACTCTCTGCACAAATATTGTTAAATTGTGCTTTGTTGCTATTTTTGCGTAGCTTCTTTTAAAACGCACATGGTAAAAAAATAAAAACGACAATTTTATAAAGCGTTTGAGATTCCCTTTAAATCTGGTTTCGCCTGCCTGACAGTTGCTGCGTTCTTGGCATTCCCTCACTCTACAACCGATTCGCGTTGTCGTTCAATTTTGCCACTCTGATTTCAGTCGCCCATTGCTCGCATTCGTTTCTGGTACGTATTGTGCCCCGTCTAGCCCATTAGGCCCGAGTGTGTGTGTGTGTGTGAGTGTGAGTGGGTTCAGTCAACCCACTGCCAGCGGCGGGCCCCCGCTTAAATAATGCAAGGTGTGTAAAATATTGGCTTTAAAAAAAATCAAGCACGCGCGTTTTATGCAATTCTGACGTGTTTTTTAACAAGAAAGTGAAGAAAAATAAATGTACATATGTATGTATATTGTTTGATTTTTGCAAAAACAAATACGTAACAGCGACAGCGGCGTTGCTGCTGGTCGCGTGTGTGAGTGTGTGAGCATAGGAGCTGTGTGCAAGTGTGTTGATGTGAGCGTGCCAAAGAAAGAGAGGCAGAGCGAGCGACCGAGTGATAACTGCATGCCGCTCTCTCCTTCTCGCTCTCTCTCTCTCTCCCTCTCATCGAGGGGACTTGTTGCTGTCGTCGCTGGCGACCGTTGCAGACAGAAGCCTTAGTTGAGTTCAAGTGACGACGTCGCACTGAGAACGAGCAAAAACAAAAACAATAACAAATACATAGCGCTTTTGATTGATATAAATGAATATGCAGCGACTGAGTCGCAACTGAAAAAAATCACTTTAATGTGCAAGTGTTCGCCGTTACGTCTTTAATTGGCGCGCAGCATCAAATACACACAAACACACACACACACACACATACACAATGAATATCAAAACAACAACAGTAAGGCTGGCAATTATGCGACCGAAAGCCGCTTAAGTGCAATATTAATAAAAAAAAAAAATTAATTATTTGAAAAAAACCAAAGCAAAACAAAGAAACAGCAATAAGAAATAGGGGTGAGCGAGCATGTAAAATACGATTTGAGTGCCAAAAAAAAACCAAAACCAAAAAAAAAAAAAAAATCAGCAGCAACAACTTTCAATTATAAAGACGAACCATGAAAAAAGCACAAATAGGAAGGAAATCAACAAGTGTGTGACGCTCTGCTCGTGCGTCTGCTCTGCTTCGCTTTCATTCATGCGGTCAACTAGAGTCAACAGCCATAACAGCAGCAGTGGCAGTGGCAGCGGCAGCGGCAGCAAAAGTGCGCCTGATAAAAACCAAAAGCAACAGCAAAACAAAACTAACTGCAGCAAATAACAGCAGCAGCAGCAGCAACAACAACTGTTACTTCCAACGGCGAGCTTTCAAGTAAGTTTCCATATGTCATGTGCATGTGTGTGTGTGTGTGTGTCTCTGTAACTGTCTGTAACCGCACACAGCCACACACATGCACACATACACTAGCGTATTTATCTATATGTATAGCATTTTTGCCCATTTGCTTAACATTCTAGTTATTTAAGCTTTTAGTCTTGCTCAGTATATTGACTGTCATTCAACCATGGACACGTGTGTCGCGTGCAAACAGGCCGCCTCCCATTTAAAGCTTTGCATGCGGCAAAATCTTGCCAATAGAAAAATAGAAAAACAGCATTAACAAATAACTGTACTAAATGAGATAGTTATTACGTTAGGGTAGAACCTATTTCTGCGCCTTGCACATGCAAAATAATAATAATTTCTAAGAGTATATTTTCATTTCTTTCTAATTCCCTATGAGAGTTGTTTGAATCTTTATTTTACATTCTTTCAATATTTAAATGGATCGCTCAGTAATTAGGAAAGTTCTTTCTTTCGGCCCATGAAAAGAACTTCTAGCACATGGGTTAATTAAGAGTTACTTCTAGAGGCGATTCTAAGTTTTCCATTAGAAAAATTCAAGAAATTTTATAGTATTCTTTTTTGAGAAAAAATATAATTTCAGTTTCGCTCTCAAAATAATGTAGTTCGTGTATTAAAAACGCAATAGTTTCTTACTGTAAAATTCCTATTTCCAGACGTTTGTGAGAAATAACTGTTTTAATTTTGAGCTTATAATTATTGTTTTTTTTTTTTTAAATAATGCAAGTATGTACATGTGTTTACTGAATTGACATTTTGTTTTAATTTAATGGATTTTCATTTTGTGTTGAGGAACAAAATCGATTGTTATCGATTTCGTAGAAACGTTACATTTTTTTACTCCGAACGATATCGATTTTTAAATGGTTCGGGCGATAAAATATTTTCAAATACTTTTCGAAAGTTAACTTAGTTTAGTTCAACTTGAAACAACATTGAGATTCACTTCAAAACTCGTGTTTGCAAATCGTTCAGCTTATATTTTAAAATCGACAGATATTTTTGAAAATTTCATAAGTTAACACGAATTTGAATTAGTTTGCAATCTCTCACTCTTTATATATCTATATCTATATATATTTATATAAACCATTCGATTTAACGAAATTCAAAATGTGTTCACGTGATCCGGCCTCCAATCAGCTGATTGACTACAAGAACAACGATGCGGCGGCCCAAACGGAATGCACCAGTTCGGGTGGTGCTCCGATTGGGGTCAAGGACGCCATACAGACGGTGGGACCGCGCGGCCCTGCCTTGCTGCAGGATTTCATTTATCTGGACGAGATCTCGCATTTCGATGCGGAACGCATACCCGAACGGGTTACCTATGCAAAGGGCGCTGGAGCCTTTGGTTATTTCGAGTGCACCCACGACATAAGCAAATTCTGTGCGGCTTCTGTGTTCGACAAGGTCAAGAAGCGCACAGCTGTTGCCATGAGATTCTCGGTCGCCTGCGGCGAGAGTGGCTCGGCGGATACGGTGCGGGAGCAGCGTGGTTTCGCTGTCAAATTCTATACGGAGGATGGCATCTGGGATTTGGTGGGCTGCAATATGCCCGTATACTATATTCGTGATCCCTCACTTTTCCCCAGCTTGATACACGCCCAGAAGCGCAATCCGCAGACGCATCTGCGGGATCCGGACATGTTCTGGGACTTCATGTCGCTGCGCGCGGAGACGCTGCACTCGCTGCTCATGTACTTCAGTGATCGCGGCACTCCGGATGGCTATAGGCATATGCATGGCTATGGCGCGCATACGTATCGCATGGTCAATCCCAGCGGGGAGACGTTCTATGTGAAGTTTCACATGAAGACGGATCAGGGCATTAAGAACTTGGATACACGCCGCTGCTCGGAGCTGGCCGCACATGATCCGGACTATGCCATACGCGATCTGTATAACGCCATCAAGAAGGGCAACTATCCCAGCTGGAGCTTGTTCATTCAGGTCATGCTCAACGAGGAGGCCAAGAAGAGCAAATTCAATCCCTTCGATGTGACCAAGGTGTGGCCCCAAAAGGACTTCCCACTGTTGCCCGTGGGCAGATTGGTCTTGGATCGCAATCCCACCAACTACTTTACCGAAATTGAACAGCTGGCCTTCAGCCCGGCACACATGGTGCCCGGCATCGAACCCTCGCCAGATAAAATGCTCCAGGGCCGGCTCTTCGCCTATGGCGACTCCCAGCGCTATCGCCTTGGCACCAATTACATGCAGATTCCTGTCAATTGTCCTTATCGCGTGAATGTCAAGAACTTTCAGCGTGATGGCGCCATGACTGTCAACGATAATCAGGACGGTGCACCCAATTACTTTCCCAACTCCTTTTGCGGACCCAAGGAGAGCTCTCGGGCTCTGGCTCTGCAGACCTGTTGTCCCGTTTCGGGCGATGTCTATCGCTATATGAGCGGCGATACGGAGGATAATTTCAGTCAGGTCACCGATTTCTGGACCTACACCCTGGACAATTGTGGACGCAAGCGACTCGTGCGCAATATATCGGAGCATCTATCGGATGCCAGTCAATTCCTGCAGGAACGCGCCGTCAAACTCTTCACCATGGTCCATGCCGACTTCGGCCGACTCATGACTGAGGCTCTGAATACGGCCAAAATATCAAAGTTCTAGTCGGGGCAAGCTTCGGAAGGGTGGATTTCGAATATTATAATGCTTGATAATTATAAAAAAAAAACAAATTTTAAAGTATTCCCTAGAAAAATGTTTTGAAAAAATATTAAATTTAAAATTAAATTAAAGTGCTTTTCCTTTAAGCAACTAAATAATATATTAAAGCATTTTTAATATTTAATATGTATATATACATAAGTAGTATAGTATTAATAAATTTGGAAATACATATTTTTATATAATATTTTTTTTATAATTTCTCTTAAGATCCTTAAAACTAAAAAGTACATTCTGAATTGAGTTTAAAACTTAAAAATATCTTGCAATATAAAGGACTATGATCTAAGGTTATCCTAATATTAACTCCATGATATTTCATTCTGGAATACAGAAGGATAGTGAAAGAGTGTGAAACGAATATGGCTAGAATATGAAACCTAGGATAGTATCATGTAATTCTATACTTTCCTTTGCTATCTTCGTTATTGCAACCGCCCATTTCTTTTCCTTACTGTCATATTCTATCCTGCCCGCATTCTATTTCCATATTTTCCCTTTCTGCTCATTTAACAGTCGTATCCCTGATTTCCGATATCCCCATTAAACACCTTTAAGGCCGCGCGAAAGCGAGTCACGTTCCGGGCACGATCCGAAACCTATTATTGTGATTAGGGTTGGGTTGAAGTTGCCTCGATTTGATATTTCGGACCACGTATTTAGCCGCCATTGGCTTATCGAACATTTATTGCAAAGAAATAATAAACGTTTGATAACAATCACAAATTCCCTGTTTTCCCGTCTTATCAGTGAACGCGAATTTTGTTGTTCTCTTTTCTATTTGTTTTTTGTTGCTTTTTTTTTTTTGACGCATTGCCTCTGATAGAAAAAGCTTTTTCGGTGGAGTCTCATAGTCGCTTTTTGGGCATTTATCTGGACGGGCTTGAAACGATTATTATTTCAATATTTCTGTATATGTACTTTATTTATTTCGGCGCTACGAGTCAGTAATAGCTCTCCGCATGGAGTGTGTCATAGAGTTGTTTTGGTTTATGAGTAGCCCATAAACTGGCCAACTAGAGCTACAGATAGCGCCTTTATATTGCCAGGCAGGTGGGTGATAATGTATATATATATATATATATATATATATATACATGTATAAATATCAGCAGGATCATAAAATTATCGCCCAGGGGGACTGTCATGTAACCAGAACTAACATGTTGTTTGTTTTTTATTAATATACAAATTATATGGACGATATTGATGACTTATCGTGTGTTCGGAAACCCATTAAAAGTTTAATACGCACTCACGTATATACTTAGAATATTGATAGACTAGTTTGACTAGCTGTATTACAGCTTTCGTGTTGATTTACCTCAAATATATTGACCACTTATCATTTGGTTCGTTTACAGTTGCTAAGCATGACTCGCCCATGATTGTAAATCGTGTTCGATAAGAATTATGAAGCACCCACAAGATCTGACAATTACCGATGGACAGCAGCTAATGGAGATTAATAAAGTGGAGCAAATGGAACAGGAGCTAAATGAGCACGGTGAGTGGAATATAAAAATATCAAATAATAGCTATTAGACATTAACTTTTGAGCACCATTATAACTAAAACGTCGCATTACGCACAATTTGATAACCAATCAATTTATCAATATCATAAATTTTAATCCAATCTGAAGCATGATCCTAAATCATTCGAACAAGATTCGGTCTACTTGCGAAAATCATTTGAATCTTAAAAGGATACAGTGTTTATTTGCATATACTTATAATAAGACGACGCGACTCCGAAAATCACTTACAATAGTTACGGCTTTTATTATCTTACTTTGAGACGTTTTTTTAGCCAATAACTTAGAATTAATTGTTGAATGTTCGTGAAAACATAATTTTACTATCACAAAAATAAATATGTAAATTCATTGATAGTCAAATTTAATCTAAATGATAAACGCGGTTTGAAAGGACTCCGAATTGCAATAAAATTTTATTGAAAATTATTATTGTCAAAAAGTAATACCTTATAATGCATTTGAAATTTCAAATGAAAAAATAAGTCCGAAATTACTCCGAACTTACTCCGAATCGTAGGAAGTTTATTAATTGTAAAATTGTCTTCGTAAGAAAGTAAGACACAATTTTAAGAAAATCTTCACTATAAAATATGGTTAATCATTCGCTTGAAATAAGACTCCGAAATCGAGTAAACGTCTATGAAAACCCAAAGTAAAATCAGTTTAGGCTCCTGTTAACTCTCTGTTAAACATACTTTACGAGGATGTTTTGGACAGAACGCAATTCATAATGAGTTTTAACCACTCCCAAATTTTCAGGTCACTAACTCAAAAGTTCAGGTCAGCAATTTCACTTAATCGCTGCTTTGCACGTGGCACGTGCCTGGCCAAAAAGGCCCAAAACAAAAAATTTTACAGGTATTCGAATTGCGTTTTTGAATATTTTGTATTGAGTATAGCGCTTGGAAAAATTTATGAGTATGTTAGGGGGGAGAATTATAAATAGAAGCGAGATAGCCTTGATTAACTTGATAAGCCAGACGAGCGCAATCATTGTAAATGTTTATAATTTGTTTATTGATTAGCAAGAACTTGTTGTTGGCGAGCAGATTAAAAAAACTGATTAGTCGTGATATAAGCAATTGTTTTACGATCCAATAATTACAAATAAAAAAAATACTTGTTCAGCTGAAGTTTTACAAGAAGGCTCGCAAATGTTGCTGTCCGGACGAAAAGAAAAAAAAAAAAAAAAACATGGAAAATAAATCGCAAAAAAAGCGCGCAAAATAAAACAAAATAAAACGTAAGCGTAATGTTTAACTTAACCCCGTAGGGTTAAATATGCGCAATAGCAAACGCAAGCGACTTAAAAAAAATAACAAAAACAAAAAAAAAAAAAAAAAAACTTGGAAAATAAAACCTAGCCAGATCCGCTGCCGTAGTCGCAAGCGATCTGAAGTGGCCCGGGCCCAGGCCTGGGCTCGGGCCTGGGCTCAAGCTCAAGCCCCTAGACATAGCCCAGCATTTAATTGTTGAATATTTATAGCTGGCTGGCCAGATGTTTACGGAGCAGACCCGGGGGCCAGTCAGGGACTGGGCTGGTTCTGTAGTGTCACCTTTTGAGCGCTGCGCTGACATGACGAAAACAATTTTCAGCTGAAACGCACTCGGACTCGCACTTAATTTGATTTTCAAGCGCCGCGCCAGCATTGAAATGAATCGGATATTATGCAAAAGACAAACAGCTAAACAAAAAATAAAACCCATGCCAAGTAGTTGAGGCAACTGACTGACCGGCTAAACAGCACGACCTATAGCTTAATATATTTACTCGGTCTACACCCTGTAATTCTATTTATGTGTGTGTGTGTATATATATATATATATATATATATATTTAACTGGCAGACAGTTCTCGGCGCTGATATTATAAGGAGGTTATCGCCGTGACGCGAACTCAATTGATTTTTGCATTGATTTCGTTTTTGTCTCTTTCCTCTGCCTATTTGCCCCGATTTAATAATTTTATATTCCCCTGCCTGAAGGTTTTGTTTTCTTCAATTTTTTTATTGGTCTACTTATAATTATAATTAAAAATTTTAACGGCTATCTAGATAGTATTTCCGTGCTGGTTGCCTATTAAGAAATATTCTTGAAGATATCAACATTGCTCGCTCGTAAGTGAGTATTTTTATTTTATTATTTTTTCTTTTTGTTTTTTATATCCGCTTCGGACACTCATTAATTTTCAAGAAGATAATTGAAGCGTATTGCGTCATTTTTCATAAATGTAAACAAATATATGCAATTGCTTTTGGGTTCTTGAAACGAATCCAGAACTTCCGATAATTGTTGCACAGTTCGTCACGTGAATATCTCTGGGAAGTGTAACAAATTAATAGAATTGTAATGAGATTTCAGTTGTAATGGGATTTCATTTGATCAATTAATTAAGATAAGCTTTGAAATTTCACCGTATTTTTATATTTTCATTTATTCGGAGTGTTAATTCCGAAAATCTTAAAAATGTGTAATATTATCGTATAATACGATACACCATCGTATAATACAATATGTTTATTAAACACAATCAATTTAAAAAAAAAGTAAATGCTCTTGGACAGAAGAATGTAGGTCCGAATATACCTACTCCGAAAATGCTTAACCCGAAAAGCAATTAACTAACATAAATGTCAAAGCGTATTCAAAAAATATAATTGATGACGATTTAGGAATTGCGACAATTACAATAACAATAACAACAAAGTCTACTCCGAAAACAAAATGCTTACTCCGAAATAGTAATTTACTAAATAAGCGACAAAGCAGGTTTAAAACAATTATGTCAGCACTTTTAACACCGCTCCGAATCAATTACCTTGACTCTGAAAAATTTGTTTCCGCACCGTTTAACCTAGTATTATCTCATTTGGCAGAGTTCAGCTCTCAACTTTTTTCAAGCTGTTAAGTGTTAGTTTTCTAGTCGTTTCCACGTTTCAATGCATCCCGACACTTGAGCTTATTTCCCAATTAGGCGGCCACCTTTTCTCAATTTAAGACCCAACTAGCAATTCCAGGGAAAGATCTTTTGGTATTATGCGATTCACACTCGTCTATATACACCTATGAATAAACGTGTATCTGCGAGATACAAACACAGATACAGATACAGATACTGTACATATATAGATGCACACAAAGCACTCAACAATGTGGACACATTTCACTTAAAGTTGTCGCCGCTTAATGAAGTGTAAATAGTAAATTGCAGTCAAACATTATGAATATCATCAACAATATTCATCGTGATCATCATGATGGTGGTCATTATTGTCATGAATAACCACAACAACAACAGCTTTAATAATTGTAATTGCAATCGCTTAATGATAATGTTGTTTCTGACGCTGGTGACGAACAACACATGCAAATCACATGTGCATCCTATGGATACAAGTCGCACACTCGCACTCACACTCACGACTCGCACTCGCACTCACATTCACGATTCATGCTCACACTCATCGGCTTGTGCAAAAATAAACGCGGCTCCATTGCTTTGCATGGTTAATATAAATATGTATGCAAATAAAATAATAATTTTCGCACAAAACTCACTTAACGAACTACTGAAAATGTTAAGGGCAGCGGGTAAAGAGTTTGTCAGGGGGGGTAAATGTCTTTTGGCTTGGCTAATTTTCATATTTCTCTGGAAATTGACAGCCAGTCAGTTGTCCACATGTGCGCAGGCCGGGAAAATGCGACAGGCAAGCCACACAACACACAACAATGCCATGCACATGACATGCATTTTATTATACCCTGTAAAATCACGTAAACAGGGTGTTCTTAATTGTGGCACTGTTTATGACAAACAGTAGAAGGCTCGCTGAATTTTATGTTATATTAGATACTGTACTTCAAAGATTCAATACTAAATACAGAAATATACAACTCTGTCTCTAGGACATCTAGACTTAAGTTTTGATGCACAAAAAACAACAATTGAGATTTTATTTTACATCTGTCTACAGAGTATTAACCAAACGAACATGCCTTCTCACTTTTACTCTACGCTTAGTTTTATTTCCCTTTCAAAAAGTGTATTAAAATAGTTTATTTCTAACTACAGGGCATCGGCTAGTCGAGCATTCTTAGTTGTTTATAAATTTACTTGTAAATTTGTTGCTCTTTCACTTCATTCGTTGTGTTTCCATTATTTTCATCAGACACACAATCATTCCTACACACACACACACACACCACGCCCATGCAGGAAACGCCGGCTGTATCTCTTGGCTGTCATAGGGGCGACAACTGTACAGTAAGCACAATTTGCGGTGATCCTCCTGCTCCGGCGCATGATTCATTTATTTCGGTGCGTTCGATTTCAATCCAAAACATATGCGTCATGTAGCGCATGCGAGATACGAGGGTATATGCATGCACATACATATATATATTCCATATTTATGTGCTCATATTTTGTAATTGCAATTAATGCAATCTCTGCCCCATATGACAGTTGCACATGCCGCAGCTCCGATTGCATTGCTCAGAACGTTGCGGACTCATTTTAATATGGGTATTTCAGTCAGTCAAGCACTTGTGGGAATAAGTTTCTCTCTTCTTGCAAAACAAAAATGATTACAGCTAATGGGAACGAGTGGTTCAAGAGGGATCAAGAGATCTCTAAGGCCAATTCGGAACCGGAGAAAAAGTAGTTTCCGAAGAATGTTGCATCTGATAAGATCAAGTCTTGTTAAAGTGATCGAATCTCTGCTTTAACTAGGCCATATCAAATCCAGTTAAATTCTATCCGCATATAGTCTTAATTAATTTAAATTATGCAAAACAAAATAAGGCAACAACTTCCAGCGGAAATTGAGATATGCCAAAATGGTTAAAGTTATGATATAAGCACCTACATGGTTAAGTTAAAGTTATCAATAGATTACAATATCTATTGTAGACTTGTGCAATACGCTTTGTTTTCAAAAAGATATCATTATATGGCCAGGAGTTGT